AGAGGAGAAGCGATCGGACGCTGTAGCCGCCGTGGAAGATCGCCTGGACGCAGAACCATTCGTGTAACTCCACGTGCCTGACGGCCGGCGACTTGATACTGGTGAGTCATAGATATCATCGTCGACAATCGCATTCGAGTCCAGCTCCATGATCCGTTTGACTCCATCCATCGTTCCATTGCAGACGGCATCCCAGAGCGACTTGTTTCGCTTGCTGGCTCTTCTCAGGCCTGATGAATCCAGAGCGAGGTAAGCCAAGACGGCTTCAAAGGTACTCAGGGCGTATCCCATTTCGCCATTGTCGACGTCGTCAATGAAAATGAATTGGCGAATGTAGATGAGACGTGCATGCAAATGCCTGACTTGAGCTCGAATAACCACAAACAGGAGTAGCGACACGAGAGTGTCAGCATTGACGGTTAGAGTAGGTTTCTCTGATGAAGAGGCCGCTTGCGCCCGGGAGAGGTCCGTCAGATGCGTGACGACCTTGATGGTCGACAGCAACAGGTCAAGCATCTCTTGTGGGCTCAGGGCGAGAGCCATCTTTTTGAACTCCTCCACGGCAAGGCCCAGTTGTATCGTCAGCTCGTGCTTCCCACGCCAGCCGCCCTCAATGACAATACCCAGCTGCGACAAGTCGATGAACTCCATCTGCCGGATCTTGGCCTCTAATTCGAGATCGTACGGCCGCTTCATTGCGCTGAGGCGTGGGAACAGGAGGTGGTGTACGTTTTCGGTGACGTATCGTTCGATGAGCCTCTCAACCCGAGGTCCAGTCAGATCCGTCGTCGCGCCAAGCATTGAGAGCTGTTGTTTGTCGACCCCTTGGAACAAGTCAATGGCCGCCGTCACCGCAGTCTCGAGAGAAGCCCTCATAACGTCCTCGTCGTCCTCTGCGTAGAAGTTTTCCGCCACTGGCAACCCATTAGGTATGCCGTTGGGTCTTTTGGCAGCGTTCATGCTGTTGGAGCGCGCATTTTTCATGGCAGTCGCAATTGGTCCCTCGGGCTCGGGGTCGGGTATGCGCATCGCCGAGGGGGGCGGCGGCAGCGGTCGCTCGAAGACGGTGGTAAACTCGCGGAACAGCTTCTCCAGGCCGGGTTGCATTTGTCGCGCAATGATCGGAAAGTGATTTAGCAGGTCGTGGAAGCTCTTGATGTCCTTCTTGCGGGGCAGCATGGCGCCCTCGCCTTCCATTGCCGCCGATCGACTCCGCTCGAGCGCTTGTATTCTCGCGATGCCCTCGATCAGCACGGCCGGCACAATCTTGATCTCGTCCCATACTCCCACGAGGGGTCGAGAGATGTAGTAAATCAACCATTGGCGGGGCTCGAGCAGGTCGGGATACCATGTCGCGTCGTTGAGCAGTTGAGCCTGGGCAAGGGACTTGAAGCCTAGGTCGCATACGTCAGCTGATGTCTTTGATGGGCTGTCTGGTCAGCAGGATGGGCGCACCCTTATTACTGTAGACATGCGTATCCTTAATGACGACTGTGCGGCCGTTGATGGTCTGGTACTGCTTCGCCTTCCCCCTCAGCTCCCGTAGGTTTTGTGCAGCATCCTTGCCACCGGCGGCAGCGGCAGTGTTGGAGGCGGGTATGCGCAAGACGTGGCTAGCTAGGAACTCCTCGGAAGTGATGACCTCGTTGAAGGTCGAGCCGCTCTCGGACTCGCGCGAGGTGAGGAGCACATCGGTGGTCGGGACCAGGAGGATGTGATGGTGGACCGGCGTGCACTGTGACGGCAGGGAGCTTCGGAAGAAGGCAGCGAGGAATGGATTTAGGGGTTGCATTCATTCGACTGGCGCTGGACGTTCTCGACCAGCTCACCCGGCCGGGAAGCCAGGATTGCAAGAGAGGAGGAGGGGAGGAAGAGGACGAGAGAGAGCGGATGGCGATCGGGTTGACGGCGGGTCGGAGGCACGGCGGTGCCGGGGTCGAAGCTGAGCAGGAGGATCGGATCGGCGGAGGTTCAAGGCGAGGTACGTCGGAAGTGACTGTGTCGGCGGTAGTGCGGGTGCGCGGAGAGGGCTGTCGGTGCCAACGTGACGCAGGATCGCGGGTGTCGTGTGTGGTCGAAAACAATAGGACCGTCGGTGTCGCTGTGGTGTTGAGTGTCGTTTCGTGATGACGATGGCAGGCAGACTAGGGAATGCAGGCTGGTGGTGCTGATGATCGCGATTCCCCTGGACAGATAGCCAGCAATGAAGCAGCATGGAAGGTGTGGAAGCTGATGTGGGCCACGGGCAGGCACTGACCTCATCCAGGTCCCGCTCCCACTGGACGCCGCTGCCAGGGGGACACCTGGCTGCTGCTGCTGGCCGCCAATGGCCTGCCGCCTCGGCGCTGAAGAGCTTCGCTGCCAGGAGCACGTTCCCCACTATTCCGGGGGCTCTGACCCTTCTGATTTGACAGCTGCCCTGAACGTGAGAGCGGGAGCCTGGGCGGAATGCGGAGAAAAAGATATCCGAGCAGGAGAGCCGCCTGCCTGGCCCGGTCTTAACCTTATCTTATCTGCTCCACTCCACAGGACGAACATCACAGGCAGCTGCAGTTGGCCGAACAGGCAGCCAGCGAGCCGCCTTGCCAGTTTGGGCCACCAGCCACACTGCCGCCTTCAAAGCCTCCAATCTCCTCTCCCCGAGAGCGCCCCTGTTCACGAACCCCTCAATTGGAGTCTCTTTCTGTTGGTGGCCAAGCCAAGCTGAGCAGCCAATTCGTTCAATAATTGCCCAGTTCGTTGGCGAGGTCGTCTGATGGGCCTCCTTTTGGCGCACGACTCAATGCTGCTCTCATGCAGGAGGCCGTCCACAACAGAGGCTGTAGACACATGATGGAGAAGGGATCGCAGCCTGCTTTCTCGTTACTCTTCCTCGTATAATTAGTAAGGACACCCGTTCCGTACATATGCAGCATTTGCCCTCAATGTCTTACTCATTTGCGCGTTGGTAATTAGTTTGGTTTATTCGCCTCATATCTCTCCCGATACTACTGACATCAATCCATTCCAAATATCCACGTTCTTTGTACGCCTAGCTTGCAGTCCATCTCGAGCTCATTTCGTGTCATCCAGCTCAATAAAGCACCTGCCATCCACGAAAGCTTCCGGGCCTGAATACGCCACATGGCTTCCTCCCCTGATTACGAGGCGCCAACCTCCACAGCGGCAAGCGAGACTTCTTCAACTGCAACCCAAGTAACTGCAAGCCATGGCTGTCTGCTATTTTCACCCCCAAGACATGACCATCCGGAGATCTCCCAAGCTCTCGAGGATATCCCTCGATATCTCTTTCGCGTCCATGCACCAAGCACCGCCGGCGAAACCACGGTCAAGCATGTCCTCTCAAAGGCGGCAACGCTCGCAAGACCCGGTGCTACTACCGACATATTCTCAATGCCAGTCCGAGAAGCTGCAGAGATGCTCAACTGCCACCTCCGTAACTGGCCCCGCGACAGCGACAACCTCATGTCATGGTCTAGCTCGCTCCTCTTCGCACTCCAGTACGCCCTCTACCGGAACATCAAGCCCAACCCCGATGACCTCGCAGATATTCAAGTGTTCGTGCTGGACACCTCTGGCCTCCCTCGGGGCGCATTCATCCCGGACACTGCCCTCTTGAATGTCTACACTGGCAAGGATTCCCACAGAGAATACAACCTCTCAAAAATTCGCCACCTCCGCCGGAATACCTCTTACAACTTTGGAGAGTACCTCTGTCAAGGGTCCCTGTCCATGGAAGGCCACTCGACCTCAACCAGCCTGCAGGACATCATAAGCCATGGTCTTTTCAAGCTCTGCCCTGAGATGGGGGAGCCGAACGAGAAGCCAGAGCTAGCCAAAAGAGTCTGCAAGCTGCGGACAGACTGCTTCGCGGCAACGACCTCTGCAACCCGGCTCGAGGTTCGCACGGCGTTGAGCCTTGCGATCGGTTGTTTCGGGGACGATTGGGCGTTGCCGATGATGGCTGCCCTACTATCATTTCGTAGACGGCGTCGCAACGACTCGGTGATCATCGACGCTTTCAAGGCTAATTTCTCAGGTCAGTTGTAACCATGTGGGAATAGTTAGATGTGTCAGGGAGTGAGATGGTTAGCTGACACAAGCACAGGCAAAGAGATGTTACGATATGACTTGGGGGCTCTCAAGTCCTTCTCGCACGAGAAACTCCCCGAGGTTTACCAGTTTGAGAAGATCATTCAAGACGTCCACAGCGACCAGTGCACGAGAGCGCTGGACTCTGTCATAGCTTCAACGATGAAGCTCTCTCGTGAGTCTCCCGCTACAAGTCCCTACCATTCGATGGCTAAGCGCTCGCAGTTTCTTCTCAGTCACCTGCGACACCGGCGAAGTTTGTGCCGCTGATTAACTACATTGATATTGATGAGGATGAAATATGGGATGTGTGATGTGTGATATCCTGCACCAGGAGCAGAATACTTTTCACATTTAACGAGACTATTGGATATGCTTCGGAATATCTTAAACGGGGAAAGAAGGTGATGTCGTGAGTAAAACTGTCAGTCATAGAAAACAAGTATGATATCTAAACTGAACGTCCTATTTATTACGAAAGTTGCTTACTTGACGACATATGCAAACTACCTTTGAAGTGACGCGAAGTTGATTACCCACGAACGAGAGGTACCAGAATGAAAAGCAAAAAGGATGAACCCGTATGATTGTTCCATGTCAATCGCAGAGTCTCACGCTCTACCGATTGAGCTAGCAAGGCGGGTCTACTGGGATGACGACAGGGGGCAGTTCCAGAGTCCATGGCGGCGCACACCTCTGCGCTGGAGGTTCTTGGCTAGTGCCCAGAGCGCTGAAGTTGACGCATTGTGCCCTGGAGCGAGCGCTGGAAAAATCGCAGCAGAGTGCCATCGATTCGTTGGTGTAAGTGGTCTATTTTGTACATGGCTGTCTGCGATCGAGACGCCATCCAGCCGGTATTTGTTGTTTGCGTACAATGAACAAAAGGAAATCATTACCTTCCATGCCCCCTAGAACTGGTGAATCTGGTCCTTGCGATACCCCAGCTCCTGCAGAATCCCAGGCGCGGTCCTCTTCCCGACCAGCGCCGCCTCCATCGCCGGCGGCCCGCACACAAACACCTTGGTCTCCGCCGTCTTCGGCACCGGCGCGACCTCCTCCAGCAGCTGCTTCGTCACATAGCCCTTGCGATACGGCGACCCGGCCACAGGGTTGCTGACCGTGTACACCGCCCTGAAGCGCCCCGGGAACTCCTTCTCGAACTCCTCAAACTCCTTCTTCAGGAGCACGTCCTGGTCCGAGTTGACGCCGAAGACGAGCGTGATGGCCGTCTTGTCCTGCGGGTTGCGCAGGATGCCCTGCGCGAGCTGGTAGATGGGCGTGATGCCCGCGCCGCCGGCAATGAGCGTCACGTGCGGGTAGCTGTTGGGCTTCCACTGGTGGCCCTTGAGCGTGGCCGCGAAGAGCAGCTTCTGGCCCGGCGCGAGGGAGTGCAGGTGCGTGCTCTGCTTGCCGTCGGGGTACTTCTTGACCATGAGCTCGAGGTAGCCGGCGTCGTCTGCGGGGCGAGGTGGTGTGTGAGCAACATGCAGCCTTGTTGGGTCGTATGATGGGGCGGTTTGGTCTTACCTAGTGGTTGGACGGGCGTGTATGGCCTCGCGACGGGGAACCATCGTCCTTCTGGCCATGACATTGTCAAGACGGCAGCTGTGATCTAGTTAGTCGCGAAATTGCATTCATGCTTCATGCGATTGACACTCACATGTTAATGACAGCCCGCTTACAGCATCCCTCTGCGGCAGCTTGAACCGCAGCCTCTTCGTGTTGTGATTCACCTGCTCAGAGCTCTCCAACGGCAGCGACACAAAAGCCGGGCCAGCTCCAAACACCTTTGGCGGCGCCCCTGATTCCGCCGCTGCGTTCCCGATCATCATCTTGGAGAAGATGCCCAGACCAATGCCCCCTGCCGCGACGGTGGCCGCGATTGTTGCGGGGCGGAACCGCCGTACCGTTACTGATGCCATGACTTGCTTGCTGTATGAATCCGAGAGTCTAATGCCGAGATCTGTGTGTCGTTCGTTGCCTGTACATACGATGTCTGATAAATGGTTCCAATGCTAAGAACCTTTTAAAAGACGACTGTCAATTATTTAAACCGACGTCACTGCTCAGCCTGCTGAGCTGAGTCGGGCAGGCCCGGGACCGAGACAGTGTGGATTCTGAGGTGATTGTGGGGTCCTGTAAGCCGGACAGCTCGGTCATCCCCAAAATGTCCGGACCCGATCGGTGCTTATAGGCTCCGATTGGCGACGTTTCTGCGGGTTAATGAGGGGCTGAAAGTCCAGGTTGCTAATATTGATCACAGAAAAAGGCCGAAAGCGAGGACATCTATATTAAACGGACGTTTTCGCTGTCCATATGGGGCGTATATCATCCAGCACCTGCACCGCGTTCCAACCTGCAGCATGCATGCATCAATTGGCAGCAGCACACTGTGCTCAATCTCCCATTGCCCGCGCGGGAGACCGGATGGACTTTTTGGAACTTTTGAAACGAAACAGCGAGCTGAGTGATGTATGTGCTATTGTCACACAACGCCGGGGAGCGTGCCGGCGGACCGTCCGCTGATCCCGCGAGAGGTGTGAGGCCGTGGTGACATGAGCGTGTTCATGCCGACGCTGGTCTGCGGCACAGCGAAGGCACCTCTGCTGTCAAGGGTGCTGCATACAAATCTTACAAGCGCAGTATTTCCTTACTGAGATGAGAAAGGGAGAAAACTGCTGCCTGGCACATTCCTTCGGTAGCCTGAGGCCATGAGGCGCGTTGTTCCCGGCAGCATTCCATCGGCACGCGCCTCCGCCGCATCTGATTCGCCAAGACATTGCCGGGCAGATGTTTGAGTTTGTTGGGGGTGGTGGAGCGGCGCAACCAACATCACCGGACATCTGTAGCAATCAGACGACAACGTACTCTCGTCGACCAACCAGGATCACGGTTTTAGTCACCTTTCCTCCATCGACGTTGGACAGCGAGCTAGTCGGTGTTCGGTGCATCTGTCGCCATGCAGGAATACGCTGTAAGACCGCCCCAGCTACCCGCAGCTTCAAGCCTCCAAGCATAGGACAGCTGAGCCAACATGGTGCTAGATGACGGAGTATAGCCAGAATGCTCAGCCGCATTTCAACCTATTAAGGATATTGGGCGGCTGGGGCAATGTCAAGTTTGTTAACCCCCGCTTCGGGCCGCACCTTGTCCACGCTTCTCCTCACTATTTCTTTGATCTCTAACCGTTGATAGTGGCCCGGGTCTCTTGTAAGAGCCTCCACCTCAATAACCGCAATCTATAATTGACCACCGTCAAAAGCATGCTGCGTAGTATGCTAGCAGGCACAGCAACAGCCGCCGTCGTCGGCCTCGCCGCATCCTTCGTCGGCGCCAGCATCTGGGGCACCGCCGGGCTGCCCTTCATCATCGGCTCCTCCCTCGGCTTCGTCCTCGGCAGCACGAGGTGGTACGTTGCCGCCTCGCAGGAAGCGCTGCTTCAGCTGGACAAGTACCCGTCCATCCTGCGCCTCCATCTCGTATCCAACTTCCCCTGGAAACCGGAGCTCGGCAGGCTGGGGGTCGAGTGGTACACCGCCCGCCGCTTCGGTTCAAACTGGCAGATGAAAAGCATGCTCATCGCCGCCTGGCTGACGGCCCAGCCCGCGCTGGACGAGATTCGCAATCGGAGGGAGACGGAGCTTGTGGAGGCGTACTCGAGACAGCGGATTCTTGAGAGGGTGAGCTCGAGTGAGCGGGAAGAACAAGACGATGGAGAGGAAACATAGCCAGTTCCGTAGTAGCTCGATAGCATGCCACAAAAGAATTGATCAACTATCAACTAACATCGGGATAATGATCTCGGCCTTGACGCAAGATATCACCGAGACGGAGCTCAGCTCAAAGCTTGAAACAGCTTGCCAGCTTCCCAAGGCACAGCTCCAGCTCAAACAGCTTCAGATAGCTCCGCCCCAAAGCTTGTTGCCTGCGATCGGTTCCCCCAAAGCCCTTCCGCCCGTTCAGTCAGCGGGTCCAAACCTGTGAGCTGAGCTCCAGTCTCGCTGAACTCTCTTCACGCATGGCATTTCGGTACCCCAACTTCGGAAAGAGGTGGGGGGTTTGGCAACTTGTGACGATAAACCTTGACTGGGTTGGTTGAAATGTTTACTCATCAAGCTTTCGCACCACCCCCTCTACGGAGACAAAGGGGGGTTCGCAGCCATGCTTCTTGGCATGCTCAAAGTCCTTTGACTTGAAGTCTTTCCATCTACTGCAGGTACCATTTGTCTAAGTCATAAGAAGGGAGTAAATATGCTCTAGAAAGACCAGCTAGTAGGTGTCGTCTTCCAGAAGCGCGCATAGACAGGCTCATGGCGGTCGTCGAATGTATTGACATGCCGCACAGATCAATCTGTATACCACATCCTGGTCATGCTTGCAATGCTGCTAACAGTATATCCCCCGGATCCCCATCTCTGCCAGACGTCATGCAACGCTCGTGCCGGCCTCCCGTTTTCGTATAACCACTTCAAGACCTATTCGAGCCCCAGCCGCCCGTCCATCACCAAGCAGCGACCCTGCTGTACCCGCAGTCGATGATGCGCGAGATCATGATCTGGAATGACATCTGTCTCTGTTTTAACGGAACTCCGTGAACATTATCATATACATGGATTACCTAGGCCGCGCCATGAGTCCCCTACACCCACTTCCAAAGCTCGCACGGCTTTCGTGTGAATGCTCGGATGGGGGTGGGGGGTCGCAGCACAGACGGAGGGACATGGCGGCATGATTACCAGAGCAAAACCAATGCCAGCTTGCGTATTTCCAATATACCAAGCTTTCTTCCAGAACAGGCCTCCCGCTCGGGATCAACCGTCTCATCTTCGCAGGGTAAACGCGTCCTCTTCGTAGGGCTTCGCGTTTAGAAACTCCACTGAAGCCGCGCCAGTCTGTGTGTTTCCTGAGGGGTTGGCTTCTTAAAGGCATAACGCAAGAGGGTGTTGTGAACGTCATTTCCTCTACGTATCCGGTCTTCAACACCCGTGTCTCGTTCTCCAAAACCCAAACAGACTTTCGGTTCAGGCTACCCCCGGCCCTTCTCCTATCTGACAGGCGGACGTGCGCCCCTCCATCATCTCAACTGCCATCCGGACGTCCTGAACGGACCAACCAAAAGGGCATGTGTTGCGGTACACCTTGAACATGGGTCAACCATGCGTGAAACTAGGCAAGTTAAACTCCTGTTCGCTTTCCAGAAGGAGAAGCATTTCGCCATACGCATTGTCAACATTGCGTTGATGATCTGACGCCGAAGATGTGGGATCATCTCGGACTCTCGAACACCATTCATACTTATAAAGAACTTGAAGACCCTTATGGCGCCAAGTTTGTCCCCCGGGCCTGCTGACTCGCTCTCAAGAAACATATTATTGACAATACAACGCTTGACTGAACCACTCTGAACCAATACCATCGTCACTCATCATGTCTGGTCCACCAAGTCTCGGCCCCACGCGTATCATCCTCGACGTCACGGGTGATGTTCCGGACTGGAAGGAGGAGTACAAGAAGTTCCTCTTGTCGGTGAAGGACTCCGATGGCTACTTCCGCTACCGCTGGGGACCCTGGAAGGAAGACCCAAGCAAGCTGGAGATTCTTGCAAGTTCGTGAATTCGGCTATCCAGATGTGGCTTCCGCCGACTTACTGATTTTACAGCCTGGGCTCCTCTCGAGAACCGCGCCGCTTTCGGCAAGTCTGAACACCACCAGAAGGCCATCGAGGCGCTGAAGCCCGTCATAGCCGGGCCCATGCCCACAAAGTGTCCTCGCTTCGACCTGGATGTGCGCACATTCGTGCCCCCGCCCCCGCAGCTGATCAACAGCCCCATCTGCGAGGTCATCACCATCCGCAACTGCACCGGCAACCGTGAGGCAATGGCGGAGACTCTGAAGAAAGCAGAGACCCTGCCTGGGTGCCATGCTGCTCACTCGGGCATTGGTGCGACAGACACTCCCGACCACGGAACTGTGTGGATTGGATTTGTCGGATGGAGAGACTACGAGTCGAGCAAGGAGGCGGACAAGTCCATCTACACTCCTGAAGGCGTTGGCAATATTGAGAGGCACCACATCAACTTCAACTTCCCCATCAAGGGATTCTCTGTTACGAACCCCGGTAGATAAAGTAGCATCGGTAGCGGATGCTGGGTTGAGGATGAGGTGTAGCTGATTCTATTCAATGGCATTCGCATTTTTCCAACGAAGATGTTTTCTTCATGCATGGCTCGCCGCGTGACTGTATTATCAATCTGTTTCTGAATGACTATGTGACGAATAATTCGGTAGAGCAACCCGGTATCCGTACTTATCCTTAAAAATCGAGCTGCTGAAAAGAGTAGAATGGAATGAGGAAGAACCTGCCCAAATGTGATGTCGAGATATCAATTGCAAACCTCGAAACTACCCCGTGACGCAAGAACTGACTCGAAGGAAAAGATTTGCGGCTACATAGGCAAGCATAGTAATCATGTAGCCCTGACAGAAACATAGCTGAAGATGATGGGCCATTGAACAAGCAGATCCAAACCGCAAGATGCCAGGCTACTCCCGACCTGTCATCACATTTGGCAGGATCATCACAAGATAATCCCAGGCTGATACTTGAACGGCTTCAAAAAGCGACAGCAGACCCAAGTAGGCGGCGCCACATTTCACTGACCATTCAAAATCTGTTGAAGTACCATACTTGGTAACACGGCACCGCATAACAAGGGCTTATCCCGTAGTGAAACCAAACAGGCCCAATACGGCAGTTGAGCAGGTGAGATGAATAATGCTTCCAACGTCTCTTGTGCTTTTACTATCGATAGCATGAGAGTCTAATGAAGAATGAACTTGACACCATATCCCATATGTGCCGCTAATACCAATGTCCAGCATCGAGTCAAAAGCAGGCTTAGGACTCCTCGGGCTCAGCGTC